GGAAAGGAAAGGAAAGGAAAGGAAAGGAAAGGAAAGGAAAGGAAAGGAAAGGAAAGGAAAGGAAAACTGTTTTGTTGTTTTACTGAGTTAGCTTTTATTATTTTTTTCAATATGGCCATTGGTGCAAAATTGCTCTGTGATTACTGCTGTTAGAATTTCTAAATCTCTTCCATATATGCTTCCAAATTACAGTAATACTGTAGCGTGGAAGTGCATCAACATTTGAAATGTGTGTTTGTGCCCAGCAGGTGGCAGCAAAATGTCACAATGTGATAAAATTTAGAGATATAGGTAGATGGTTGGTAGGCAGGTAGGTAAGTAGTTAGGTAGGTAGGTAGGTAGGTAGGCCATCAAATTCATGTCAGCTCCCAGCAACCGTATAGATCGATCCTCTCCAGATGATCTGTCCCATGTAGCCCTTCAGGTCTTCCAACAGTGCATGCTTTGCCACTCTAATTGACTTTGTCTACCTTCTACTGATTGCCCGCTCCTTCTCTTTCCTTCCACCTTTCCCAGCATTATGGAGTCCTTAAGGGACCTGTCCAAAATATGATTGAATATACTTACAGATGCAGAAAGAGATATATACCCTCTCAAGCCCTGCTATAGCGAAGGAAGAGTTATTTCTGAAAGGGAGCGGTGAAAAACACTGGGAGTATATACCAAGACTACATACTTTCAGCAGAGTCTCCCAAAGTGTAAAGCTCATTCTAGCTGCTCAGCTAATACAAGCAGGCATCTATATTGGAAAACAGCAGTGTAGGACGATGCTGGAGGTGGATGATCACTTTAGTGACCGTGGCACAGGCATAATTTCATAGTGTGTGGGAGGTAGCAAACCATCCCTGAATTTCCCTAAGAAAACCACATGGATAGCCAGTATAGAGTGACTGACACTACAGTGCCAGATGATGGGCTCCTCCGTTTAGCCAAAGTCTAAATAGAACATGGCGAAACAAACTAGTTCCAGGCCAGCAAAGGAGTAAGACAAGGCTGTGCACTCTCTCCTTATTTATTCCACCTATATGTTGAATATATAGTATATTGAGGGAAGATGGATTGGAAGAAGATGAGTGTGGTTTTAAAAATGGAGAAATAAATATCAATAACCTGCTCTATGCTGATGATACTACTCTGATAGCTGTAAAGGCAAACCATCTGCCAGCAACAAAAATCAAACATCACAGTAAAAAACTGTGACTAAGATTAAATATAAAGAAGACCACACTAATGACAATAGCATCCAGCCTTAAAATTGACAGTGAAGATATTAAAGTGGGGGATAGCTCTGCTTTTTAGGATCAACTACCAAACAGTCAAAAAATATGCTGCAGATTAGTACTTGGTAGAGTAGCAATGAAAGCCTTGGAAAAGATATTCAGATGCCAGGATGTGTCTATACCTACAAAGATCAAAACTGTGCAGGCAATTGTTTTCCCTATGACAATCTATGAAAGTGAAAGCTGGGTTTTGAAGTAGCCCAACAGAAAGAGTATTGATGCTTTTGAACTTTGTGATGAAGAAGACTCTGAGAATACCATGGATAGCCAGGAAAATAAGCAAATGCATTATGGAATAATTCTCAATCGAGGCACAAATGATCAGTCTCAAATTACCATATTTTGGACACATTATGCAAAGACCTAGCTCTCTTGAGAAATTTATAATGCTGGGAAAGGTGGAAAGAAGGAGAAGATGATGACCAGCAGCAAGGTGGATAGATTCAGTTACAGCAGAAATGGGTGCAGTGGTGGAAGACTTGGAGCCAGATTGGGGAGGGATCATCCTGGAGAGGATCTATCTTTGTGGTCACTAAGAGTCGATACGAACTTGATGGCATATAATCAACATATATTTCATATATAGGTACTACTTTGTCTGTTGTGACTGTTTTTAAGTGTGATGTTTATTTGAATATTTTTTTGATTCAGAAACCATTCTGTCTTGTTAATTCTGAAAGCTGAGTTCTTTAAAATATGCTGTTTTTATTGCCAGACACTAAGTGCAAAGTGGATGGTTTACTGGAAGATACAGAATATGAGTTCCGTGTCATAGCAGTGAACCGAGCAGGACCTGGATTTCCCAGCAGTGCTTCCAACTCAGTTGCAGCAAAAGATCCCATCAGTATGCTTCTACTTTTGATTTATTCCTAGTGTCCAGTATGTGTGTGTATATGTATGTGTGTGTGTAGATTCAATAAATTGAATATTATGAGGCTCATTATCATATAAGCAGAACATAATAGGGTAAGCAGGGAACTTGCTTGGATGTCCTCTGTGGCAGTGTGTGTTACTTGCTGCTGATTGCTTCCTTTCTATTTTGTAATGCCACAATCATTTACATTTCAGCATGTGACAAGGTGACCCTCTTTCAAATAATACTGAGTTAGCCTAATGGTGGAGGTGGCACAATTATATAGCAACATTTATCATATTGTAAGTCCATGATCTTGTATTAACATCCTGTAACAGTACAAGCCAAGTGGTGGCAAAATGACTCCTGAATTAAATATTGCCTAAAGCATTTTACCTGACCTCTGACAGATCTACCAAATTCTGACTAATGGTGCCAAGATCATTTTGTCCCCTAATGATAGCTTCTGTCCTGGTTTAAGGCAGAGAGAAGACTGAGTTGTCCAGCTATTGTTAAAATAGCTGTCATTCATCTCTACTGGCTGGGGCTGTGGGGTATTGTAGTTCAGCAAAACCTGGTGGGCCATAGGAAGTGAAGATTGGGACATGACACAAGAGGTGTATGGTATTTGGTCTATGACCATATAGCTTAATAAATTAAACTAAGAAGGGTGGATTAAAGTCCTAATGGTGATTTCCAAGGACACTGTGTTTCATGCTGGTTTTCCAAAAGTCCCTGCTCAGGGGAGCCTGCAGGTACTAGCATCTATGGGCAGCTTTTCCATTTTGGAAAATTCCAGGAGCTGGGAGATCCTGCCACCTGCTAAAATGTGCAAACTTTCCTATGGAACCTGACTGCTTGAAAGAAGGTCTGTTGGTATGGCAAAATTGGCATCTGCTCTACATTTCCACCTAAGAATGAGGAAGTTGGCCATTGCTGATTTATAAGTCATTCTTGGACACCTTTCCACTGTCTTTTTAAAAAATATAACATAGTCTTCAGATTCATAGAGCTTTACTTCTATGGGGTGATCCTGAATTTCTGTCTGATAATATATTTTGTTTAATATATCAAGTCAAGAATATACATATATGAACTGCCCCAGAGGCTAGCATATCTCAGTAAATTGTAGCTGCAAATTTACCAGTTGTTCCCACATGAGATGTCTTGGACAGGATGACTCTCATGAAGCTCCACTGGATTTAAAGGCTTGAATGTTCCATCAGTTCAAATAATATGCTTTTTTCAATCACTTACAACTGTGCATTAATTACTGATGTTTGCTACTGAACCAGAGCCTCCTGGGCTGGTGAAGGGATTGCACGTGGCTGATTCTTCCAACTCCAGCATTTCCTTGGCATGGCAGCAGCCTGATGAGGGTGATCCACCTTCAGGATACATACTGGAGATGCGACCTGAGGACACCAAGGAATGGTCCAAGTGCACCAAGATCCCAATTTCTGGCAACAGTTACACAGTGGGAGGACTGCAGGAGAGGCAGAAGTATTTCTTCCGCATCCGAGCTGTGAATGAAGCTGGAGTGGGAGAACCAATTGAGCTGAAGGAAGGTGTTCTGGCCATGCCCCCTCCAGGTAAAAGTTCTAGCTAATTCTTTCCTTCTTATGTTAGGTTCAACCAAATAAATGATGTTCCAAATCCTAAAGAACCAATCAGATATTTCAAGGGGAAAAGTTCTTTTTCAATATGAAGCATTGCTCATTATTAATAAGATCCTTAAGGGAACTTTTATAATTATATTTTTATCCCAATGTGTGTGTGTATGTTTGTAAGTATAAATAAATGCATAAGTAAATAAAAATCCAAGATGGCGAACATACCTAATACTCACGCCACCTATTTTCCTGACAACAACAAAACGTCTTTGAACTGTATCTTATTTTTAAACAAGGTTTTTAAAAAGATAATAAAACTCTTTTGTGAGGCAAATTTGGTTAAATTACCACAATTTTACAAAACTACACATCGGGTTACAAGGCTGAATGGACATGGAATTTTCTCTGTTGATTTGTATCATTCTCATCTTTCACCTTTTCAAGAGAGGGGACTGGAAAATATGAACTATGAATAGGTTGACTCATTAAAATATCAGAATTTTTCAGACAATTTTGTTGCTCTCTCTTCTGCTTGAGCTCCAGAGTGTGGTTTGAAAACTCATCGTTTAGTAATCTTGCAGGATATAAGCAGATCTAGGGTTAGCATATGGCATAAAAGTGGGAGAGTGGGTAACTGGGTAAGTAGATGGACAATAAAGCCTGACTCAGCAGATAACACTGCTGCTCACTTAGAACCAAATTCAGAATGATGGAGGAGACATATAGAAGGCTTCTGTAACATTTAATGAACCGATACAGGGCTCTGAGTTGATTAGAACAATGGTGCTGGCCGTGGAATATGCCTTCTCCTCTGCACCATTGTCTTCTCTCTCAAAGTTGCTCCTTTTCCTCTAAGTGGAAAATCAGCTAGGAATGTTTCTACCTGGAAAACTGACCCCATAGGAAGGATATTTCCATCCTGTCAAACAAGCTCTGATCAAATTCAAGTTAGACCATGGATATGTAAAAATACATACAGAAAACCTAGTGGAAAATACTTTTGTGTCTGCAAATTTATTTAGCTTGTCCCTTAGTTACTTGTGGTACGTTGCAGATCAGTTGCAATAACCCTTGGATGTACGGCCCAAATATTTTGTCCTGAATTGATTTGACAATTTTTTTTTAGATTTTTTAATCCCGCCTTTATTGTTTTTATAAATAACTCAAGGTGACGAACATATCTAATACTCCTTCCTCCTCCTATTTTCCCCGCAACAAGAACCCTGTGAGGTGAATTGGGCTGAGAGAGAGGGACTGGCCCAAAGTCACCCAGCCGGCTTTCATGCCTAAGGCGAGACTACAACTCACCGTCTCCTGCTTTCTAGCCTGGAGCCTTCATCACTAGAACAAACTGTCTCTCCATTTTGCCTTTGCCTATTTTGCCTCTATCATTTTGATCTCTATCTGCTTGCCTATTTTGCCTCTATCAAATTTTGCCTTTGGAACGGAAGGGTAACATAGGTAACAGCAGTACAAATAGGCCCTCCATTTATTCAGACAACGTTTTGATGAATATCTCTCTGGTAGACTATTTGCTGTGCATACAAAAGGTCCTAAGTTTTACCCACAAGACCAAAGAGCCTACATCAAACCCTGGAAAGATATGGCCAGCCAAGTACTGGCAGTACTGCCCTAAATGAGTCAATAATCTGATTCAGGATTTCCAATGTCCTAGATTGTTGTCACTTTTTTCATTTCTTTCTCTCTTACTTGTCTTGCTGGTGCGTTGTGTAGCTGCTCCAAAGTTTGATTTGAGTGTCAGACTGAAGAATCATATGGTGGTTCGTGCTGGGACTGCCCTCTGCATTCATGCTTCCTTTACTGTAAGTTGTCTTTTTTCTCATCCGGGATATTATGTTTAAAAATGTTGCATTCCTGGGATATCTTTGGAATCCCCCTCTTCCATGATAGCATTTTTTTTTCTAAGATAGCATTTTCTCAACTAGATGTCTTCTAGATCTGTTGAGGCTGCAATTCCCTGAACTCCACTGAGGGCAACTGGAGATATTTTGCAGTCTCCAAATATCTGGAGGGCATAAAATGGAGGAATGTTGCCCTAAGCTATAAGGCCTGAAGTGGAGTTCAGCTGAGGATGATAAGCCTTCTAAATGAGAGCCCTGATGATGCCCACAAACTCTATGATGTGCATGTGAATTCTTGAATATGTTCTATCTGCTAGTTCAATTGAGACGAGTGAGATTTTGAGCAAAAGGATCCAGAATGCTGGTATAGCAAGTATTTTGCACACAAAAGAACCAGGATTCAATTTCTGGCCTCTCTGGTTAGAAGGACATACAAGTAGTCCTTGTTTAGTGACTGCCTCATTTAGCAACTGTTTGCAGTTACGATGATAATGAAAAAGTAACCAATGTTACTTTGTGACCAATACCTGCATTTACAATCTTCACAGGTCTGTAAAGCAAAGAAAAGCTGAAGTTAGATCGTAAGCACAGTCATAGTTTCACTTAGTGACCACTTCACTTAATGAACAACTTGCTGGTCCCAACTGTAGTCACTAAATAAGGACTACCTGTAGTAGAAAATGATGGGAAGAGATATTTGAAGATATTTGGCCTGAGATTCTCAAGAACCATTGTCAAATATAGGAATCTTATGGCTGGTGTGGGTCTTCCAGGCTGTGTGGCTGTGTTCTGGAAGTTTTGTTTCCTAACGT